TTTTTACACCTCCCTTTTTTCATGTGTTCAATACCGTTTTACTGTGCCTTTCCACATTATTACAAATAACTTCATTTCTGGACATTTAGGGTTTGATTTCTTTGTATATATGGATCACTTGAGTTGTTACCGACATCTGGTGAAAATTTCATGTCATTAGTACCTCTAGTAATATATTTACTGAGAAAAATGGTGATGTGTTCAATACTTATTTTACCCGCTGTATATTTGATTTATAATTTTACGAAGTGGTTTTTACCGCAACTTTTACTTTTATTTTGTTAAATTCAAAACATATAAATTTATTTTTTGCTTTTTTACTTTAAAAATTAGCACCTCCGTTCACGCCATCACAATTTAAATATGGCCAGAACTCATCATGAAAGGAGTTGTTTGTGCTTTCTGTAAAGCAGGGGTGCCCAAACATTTTCCTTGAGAGGGCCAAAATGAAAATCTATAGGGGACTGCGGGCCAAATGCAGTAATATAATACATGAAATACAAACACTTTTTAAAGTAAAGTTCTATATTTTTAATGATTAACCTACGCAATGGCCCTCTTTTGTTTTAGTCTGCGCACTTGGAGAAAGTCTGCCATATGCTCACGCAGCAAAGGCTCATGGGACATTTCATAAATTGATAAAACATGAGTTTTTGTGTCTTTATAAAGTTTTCAAATCTACATGTGGGGTTAAATCTGATCTAAACATGTCTTCTTGCCATTTCATGTTCATGTTAATCCTATTAAATCAAAGATAAAGTCAGCCCCATGAATGAAAACTACCTTCACAGCCCTTTTATATAGTCATTTGACCAATGGAAATACTGTGTTTTTACATAGGATAACAGGTTACAACCTTGTAACTTTGGCATCTGTTGGTGGGCCAAATCAAATGGCTTGGTGGGCCAAATTTGGCCCGCGGGCCCCACTTTGGGCTCCTCTGCTGTAAAGCAAATGAAAATAAATACAGACAAAATGCAAATAAAGCAAACACGATGTGTAATTTGCTCAACTCGGTTTAGTGGAAACAGACATCACACAGTTAAGTTCAACACTTCATTTTTTATGGTGCGTTCACACCAAACGCGATTTCAGCATCAGGAGCAGCAGGTTTACATACAAAGTCTATGGTGGACACGCTTCAATCAGCGTCGGGAAGTGCTGCAGCGCCTCAAGCGCGATTAGAGCAGCGCGATTTGAACGATCTGAGCGTTTGACGTGCTTGATGCTCAAATCGCTGAAGTTAGAAAATCTGAACTTTTGCAGCTCGTCGCGCCGCGTCAACCAATCAGAGAGACTCCACTGTGTGACATAGCGACATATTTCCCGACGGGACAGTTTACTGAATGATGTCCACT